GTAAATTAAATAATTTCAGTTTTGCAGACATATGGTCTCTGTTGCTTCCACTTGACCATTGTAGGATGCAGGCAGTAATAGATGATGCATAAGTCAATCGATGTGGCTCTGTTGCAATAAAACTTTATTGACAAAAACAGGCCTTTGGCTGCATTTGGTTCACAGGCCAGAGTTTGCTAATCCCCTCTATGGCCAATACCTTATATACCTTGTTCCCTCCCATGTCCCCAGCACCTAGCATTAGGCAGATGCTACACGCATTCACAATCTTCTATCCTCACCAAAACCCTGAAAGGTGGATGTTGTTATTTCCATTCTATAGATGAACTCTGTGAGGTTTACTAATTTACCCAAACTCAAATAGATATTGTATTAGTTTCTGTTGCTCCAGGAGAAGGGGGTTTCCCACTCTGGGCAAGTTCACTATGAATTTGTTCAGACCGAATAACAACAATGGAATGTTGTGGGTAAAAAGGGGCTCGTACCAAGCCTCATTCTCATGGCAGCAGGTCGAGCACTAGACTCCTGTCCGCCCATCTCAGTCTCCGGTCCCAGCTCCAGGCAGCTCCCCAGGCACTGCCTCTGCTCAGGGCTCGTCTCCCTGCCCCTGCTCTCAGCACTGGGCTCTGCTCTCCGCTCTCTCTGGCTTGCCTCCCTCCAGGCTCCCTTCTCTCTTCCTAGCGCGGGGCTCCATGGCTTCTCTTCTCAAAACAATACCAGCCATAAAAAATTTACTGCCAAGGGGTATGTAAGCAGGCTAAGTATTACCTCATTGAATGTATACAATGGGCAATAGTAAGGTCAGGTAAGAATCCTGGCCATAAAATTCCCATTTTCCCTACAGTTTCCTAGGGCCGCTGTAACAAAGTACCACAGACTGCATGAACTACTGAAAACAGCAGAAATTAATTTTCTCACAGCTGTGGAGGCCAGAAGCCCAACGTCAAGGCATTAGCAGGACCAGGCTTCCTCTGAGAGCCCTAGAGGAAAATCCTTCCTTGCCTCTTCCAGCTTCTGGGGGCTTCTGGAACCCCTGTTCCTGTTCTCCTCTTACAAGGACACTGGTCATTGGATTTAGGACCCATCCTAATATAACATGGTCTCCTTTGGACCACATTCATTAACTAAATACCCATTTCTAAATAAGGTCACATTCTGAGACTCTAAGTGGGCATGAATTTTGTGGGGAGACAGTATTAAACCCACTGCAACCATCACATAGTAGACTGAAGATTTGAACCCAACTCCATTTCTATAATTTTTTACTTTGAAGTTGTAGTCTCAGCTAATGAGTTAAACTAACAGACAACAGTGGTGTCCTTTGAGAATTGTTTAGAGAAGCGATGATTTGAAAGCAGTGGTGGAAATGGGAGCTGAGAAGCTCACCTGAGAGAAGCTTTGTCTGGGCCATTGCTTCTGACTGGTGCCTTGATGTAGGTTCGTGTTGACCTCCAGAGCACTTGGTATATCTTATGACTAGATATGTAAGACATTTTTTTCTACAGATATCATTGGTTGAACAAGGAGAATCACAGAAGTTCCATGGCCTCCCTAGTTAACATATTTGGATACCAGGCTTGTGAGTTAGGATTTTTCTCAAAGTTTGTCTAAAACATATTCTCCCCACTAGGGGAGAAGGCAGTTCTATTATGGTCCAAAGTCATTTGGAAAGTGCCAGACCAATCCAAGTAAAACAGATTTCTTTACTTCAGTAAATCATTGCTTCTTAGTACTTTTTATTTATGAAGATGCCTTTAAAGTGATATCTAAAAGGAAAGTCTTGTACATATTTTTCTAAACTTATTGGCCATTTTTTTGTAGAGTATCTCCAGTAGCTAAGCATCTATGCCACACACTTTGGTATGCCTACTTTGGGTGTTTACTTGCTTATCTGAGTGTAGGTAAGTTCTGCTTTTCTGGAGGTCAGTTTGTATAAGTTCACTCTTTGGGATTTTAGAAATTGGTTTCCCTTCCATCAAGGATGAGATTCTGACTGAAGAGGAGGCCTGATGGGCCGCGCCATGGCGTCTACTGATTCATTGGTTGGCTCATTCTCTGCTTTATTCATTTCTTCCCTCATTTCACACACACTTCCAGATGCCCAAGGAAGCAGTTAGGAACCTAAGGAAGACCAAGACCAGAATTCTTTTCATGGTGTCATCCAGACAGCACATGCCAATCACCATGTCCCAAAGTAATGCTGACACATGGAAACCACTTATAATGGACGGAATTATCCCCCTAAAATTCATATGTTGGAGTCCTAATCCGTAGTTCCTTAGAATGTGACTCTATTTGGAGATAGAACCTTTAAAGAGGTTATTTAGGTTACATGAGGACATTAAAGGTGGAGCTCTAATTCAATAAAAATGATGTCCTTCGAAGCAGGAGAGAGATAACAGGGATGCACATGCACAGAGAAGAGTCCATGTGGGGACATAGCGGGAAGGACTTGGCCACCTACAAGCCAAGAAGGGAGGCCTCAGAAAAAATCAATCCTGCCAGCACCTTGATCTTGGATTTCTATCCTCCAGAACAGTGAGAAAATACATTCCTGTTGTTTAAGCCCCCCAATCTGTGGTATTTTGCCACGGCAGCCCTTGTAAAGGAAAATACCACCATTAATTGCTTATTAGGTCCCCTGCCATCAAGAACCAGCCAGTTCTAATGCTGACTGATGATCTGTGATTCCTTTATTTGTATTTTAGAAAAATGTCATGGGGACTGATTTGATTGCAGACCTCCTGAGGACAATGCCTTTGTGTGTGGCATCCCCACATTGACCAGCAGAGAGCGAGGCATCTGACAGAATGAATGTATCATCCACATCTGTACTGCCCTCTGCTCATCGATCAGTGAAAGATGGCCTCATATATCTCTTGGAGAGAGAAAGAAATAAGAAAAAGAGAAGTACAATGTGCTAAGCCCATAGCTACGAGCTTCAGGTAGGTTTTCTCTTTTAATATTTTTCTTCTATTTTTGAGGTAAATATCTTCACTGCATTTTTCAGATGAGGAAACAGAGGTTCAGAGAGGATAAGTGATTTAGCCAAGGTCATAAAAAGCCAGAATTCAAATTCATTTCCACCACCTCCCACTGCTGAATATGCTGGTCTGAAACAAGTATGATTTTTTAAAAAAATGAAGAAAAGATGCTGATCAGAGTGTTTTCATCAATTGCTTAATTAGAGGAAAGAGGAAATCTGGCGAGGCAGCAGCACTTATGGAAAAGAACTGGGAACGTCAGTGCGCTGCATGTTTATTTCAGTGGCATCATCATGAATGGCTTGGCTACCAAAAAGCTGGGCCAGTGGTAAGTTGTGCAAATAGAGATGACGGTTATAAGGCACTTGCAGAGCCTTATACTGTTCTCACTCTTTACATGTATTCTTGATACCACTATTCAGGAGGCTAGTGAAAAATCACAAGTGTGCCTGAAGGTAGGTCACCAGAATGGCCAGACTTTGAAATCATGCTGCACAACTACTGGCTGGCTAAACTGGGAAGGTTTACCCTGGAAAAAATGTAGAAGACATGATAAATAGTTGGAAGATTTTCAGGTAGAAGAAGGATTTATTTAGATAGAGGAACCGAATTCAGAGGTAGTGAGCCTTCCATTCCTGAGACTATTTAAATAGATGTGTTCATATAGAAGCACCACTTGCATTCAATGGGAGATTGTGTCATTACACTCTTACATTCCTTAAACTTAAGATTTTAGAATTTTTAGGGTTAATAAATATCAGATTCTTCATTAACACTGTTAGACTTAGAGGGGAAAAGAAAAGATAGGTACTGGATCCCTTCTGAAACTATAGAAAGAATTCTCTGGAGAGAAACATCAGTTCTCTCATCACCATTTCTAAAAGGTACTCACTAGGAAATTGTTGTTCAATCTGAACCCTTCTCTCTATTGATTCTCCTGTAATTATATTGACAAAATTCAGTCTCCAGGTGTCAAAGCTGATAGCATTAGCTATTCTGAGAAGATTGTCTATTTTTGCCTTTATCAGCAAGAGCAGCTCATCTTTAACGTCTATCACTGGGCTGGGCAACGAGCAGAAGCTCCTTACAATAGGATACAGTGGGGTGTGCTTCTTATCCGGGATCACTGTTTCTTGTGAAGTAACCTACAGAGGCTAAGAAGTGAGTAGATAGATGATAGTGAGCATCATGAGACGAATTAGGGTAGATAATCCATTTGCAAGCGGCAGACAAGTGCTGTTCGTGTAATGTGATGGGGCTTAGCCAGAGTCCCGCATGACGAATTCAGGAGTTGCGTGTTGAGGGCCATATGGGGGGGAATCCGGATAACCTGCATAAGTCCTCCTGAGCACGGCACAAGATAGACACCGCCTACGAGGGCCCCAGAAAATCCAAGCTGTCGGAGGGGTGTGTGTGCATCCAAAGCATTTTCAAATTACGTTGTTGTGGCTATGGACACTTGAGAAAGATGTGGTAGCAGGAAAAAAACATGCATGCAGAGGGTGTCGCATCCTGCTGTGCAGAGCACCGTGGGCGCCCCGGCGGTATTAGCGCCCCGCGCCGAAGATGGTAGCGAGGATGACGCTGGTCGATGCGGCCCCGGAGACGCGGGCTGGGGGCCCGGCGCGGCGCGGGGCGGCGGAGGGGCGCTGCCGGGCGGGGCGGCCCCGGGGCGGGCGCGGCGGTGCGCGCGCGGGCGAGCGCGGGGGGCGGCCGGGGCGCGCGGCCGGGCGCGGGGAGTGGGCGGCTCCGGGCGAGGGCGGCGGCGGCGACGCCGGGAGCCGCGGGGCCGCCGAGACTCCGCCCGCCTGCCGGCAAACTCCGCGCTGCCCGCCGGCCCGCAGCCGCCCGCCGCGCCCGCCGGGGCCCCGCCCGGAGCCGCCCGAGCCCCCGCCGCCCCCGCCCGGCCGCCCGCACAAAGGCAGCATCCGGGGCCGGCGGCCGAGCAGGAGCAGCGGGCGCCCCCCACCCCTCGCCGGCGCCGCCCGCGGGCTCCGCGGGGAGCGGGAGCTGGGGCGCAGCGGCGGGCGCCGGGCGGGCCGCCACCATGTCCTCGGCCGCGGGGCCCCGCGGGCCTCGCCCGCCCACGGGGCCGCCCCCGATGCCGGAGCTGCCCGACCTGAGCCACCTGACCGAGGAGGAGCGGAGCATCATCATGGCAGTGCTGGACCGGCAGAAGGAGGAGGAGGAGAAGGAGGAGGCCATGCTCAAGTAAGCCGCCCCCCGCGCCCCGGCGCCCGCGGCCGGGTGGGGGAGGCCCGGGGGGCGGCGGCCCGGGGCCGGGGGCTGCCGGGGCGGGAAGAGCCGGTCCCACCCGGGTGGGGGGGGGCGCTGGCCGGGGAGCCGCCCGGGGCCGGCGGGGAGGGCGAGGGCGGCGCGGTGGGCTCGGGAGGTGCTGGGAACGGCCCCCGCGCCTCTCGGAGTTGTTCAGCAGGTTGGGGTTACCCCGGTGCAGGGTGCCAGCGTCTGTGGAGGAAAAATGCTTCTGTTTAGTGTTGGTTTTGGTGCTCATTCATCTCACAGATCAAGGTTGGGTCTTTCTGGGCAGTTGCCATCTTTGGTAACCTGCCTCCCCAGCTTCTTGAACCCTTTTTTCACAGTCTTCTATTCAGAATACTGTGTGAAGACACCTTGTCTTACCCATAGATAATGCCGTAGGCGATGCAAAGTTTTTAATAATGGGAGAAGCTGATGGGGACTCTGGCCGGAATAAAATAGAGGTTCCCGTTTACTGGTTTCCAAAAGACCTCTGGGCCTGCTCAGTTCCAGGTGGAAGCAATGTAATAGCAGATGGAATATTTGCACACAAGCCCCATTCGTCACAGCCCATCAGCCTCTCGGGGACCCTCCTCAGCGCCCCATCTCCTTGTGTCTGGGGAGGGGACGGCTCGTCCCTGGTGGTGCAGGGATGTGTGACAGTGTCCAGGTCACTGCTTGCCTTAATCACAGACACAGCTGCTCCCAAGGCGCTGGGTTCCAGACGGCTCCCGCTGCTCCTTCCCTTCACCCCCACAGCGCCCCGGAGCTTCGGCCCTGCCTTCCCTTGGGAGGTCTTCGTGTAGTCAGGGAGTTGTCACCTGGGTCTAAGGGAATTTAGAGACCCGACTGGGACGAATGCTTGGGTGTCCCCCTTTAGGCCAGCAGGTGTACCTGGGGGCAGAGGATTGGCATGGAGAGCCCAGGGAACCTGTTGCGTGTGGAGTTGGCTGAGAGCGGAGAAAGGGTAGGGAGGGAACCGGGTGGCACCCAGGCACAGAGCACACCCGGCCCAGCCCCCCAACCCCCTAGGATTGCCTTCTGAAGGAAAGAGGCTGCCGTGGAGTCCCGCATGCCCTCAGTACAGCAGAGCCTGTGAGGAGGGGAAGGGAGGGAGGCTGCGTGCACAGACTGCTGGGTCCTCACTGGTGTACCTGTTACCCAGGCGGGAGAGGGGGCACTGAGCGAGAGCTGGGGGTGCTGCTCCAGCAAAGACCAGACATCCAATCGTTCCTGCCCTTGGGTCGTACACTCGGAAAGGGGCTGTGAACTCGGAAGGCCAGAGAGGGCCTGGTTCTATACAGCGCGTCAGGTTTCTGTTTTCCCTGCCCCTGCTTAGGCAAAAAACAAACACTTTAAGCCTGCCGGCTCGAGGGAGGCAGAACCCTCGCTGTCCGCTGCCGGTCCTTAGTGAGCAGTGACGCCCCGGGTGCTGCAGGCTTCCCCTCTTCTGAGATTGGAAGTCGTGGATGGTGTCTGATGGCACTGCTGTCTGTCTGTCTGCTTGTCAGTCCGTCTGTCCTAACGGGTCTCAGCCCCTGCCACCTGCTCTGGACATCTGTTCTGCTGCTCAGCATTTACAGGTTTGTTATTATTTCTTCTGGTGTCGGCTGCAGCCAGCAGGTGAATGGAGGCCTCCAGCAGCCGGTGGCAAACATGGGCTGCTGCTTGACAGGGTCCCAATAGGAAGGGGAAAGGCCAGGGCAGTAGTGGCCATCCTGCCTCTTCATTGGCTGTTGCAGGGATTGTGGAGTGAGGGTGAATTTTAGGACAGGATCCGGAACGTGCTGACTGCCTAAGGACAGCAGTGGTGAGACTGTATGGGCTTCGTGCACAAATAAGAATGAAGAGCGCTGTCCAGCTGCTCGTTTTCCTCTGCTGTTCCGTGACTGTTTTCCCTGACTTGCACACATTGTTCCGTCGTTGCAAGGATTCACAAAATATCGCACTGTGCGAGCCTGTTATACAGCAGCCCTCTCTAATCCCGGACCTCTGCATCAGCTTTATCAGCCTCCTCTCCTAATATCTTGGCCTTTTGTGCAGAGGGAGATAGGTGAGTGTTTCAGAATCCCAGTTTGCTGCCATGTAGCGTGTCAGTGAACCTGCCATTAGAACCGTGCTGTACTTTTTCTAGAGGGCACCTTACGTCTTAAAAACTGGGAATCTTAGGGGCTATTCAGCTGACATACATGTGGGAACTTAATGACACAGTTAAAAGTGAATGACCTTTTCTAAAGTTTGCATGAAAGTAGATTGGAAAACAGGATGTTTTTCACACGGCTTTGAAATATTTGTTAAATCAGAGATAAGTTTTTGTGTCAATGCCCAGTCCCTCATTTCACATATCTGGAAAACTACTTTCACAACAGGCCCTACAAAGCTAAAGTTCTGGAAAGAGCAATTAAACCTAAAACTCACTTTTGTTGTCACTGCAGAACCACCATGTTGAGCTGACTGCGGTACATGCTGTCTCCCTCTTTACTCTGTATAAAGATGGGCACTAGCAGAAGATAGAAAACCGAGGGATAATATGCCAAAGAAACATTACAAAATAACAAAAATATATTTTTACAGTTTCGTCAGCCCTGGTCTTAAATTACTACTTGGATTTGATCTTGATAATGTCTTTAAATATGTATAAATGGAAAAGAATAACCAAGCCACTTTCACATCAAGATTTCAGAAAAAAAAATCATTCAAAATTGTGAGTACTTTATCATAAAAACAATTCATTTTGTTGGCCAAGTGCACTAATTTTAAATAACATTGCCATATAAGCAGAAGTTGACTCCTGCAAAAAAAATTTTAATGGTTGATTTAGTTACTCCAAATAAGAGGTCTTTTTAAAAAAATCTTAGTAGGTTTTTGGGGTGTGTGCACATGCACATATTCTGGAGACTTTTTGAACCCTCACTTCCTTAGTGAATACTTTTTCAAGTAACTGTCACCGGACCCCCTGGGCTGATCTGTTACATGGGTTGAAAACTGCTATCTTGGACCTAAGTCAGAGAAGATCTCTTATTCTTTTTTAATACAAGTTTCATAGGGAAAGGAGCTACAGAATAGTAAGAGACAAGAAAAAAAAAAGTACAGTTAAAAGGATGGTTTGAGGATGGGAACTGAGAACCATGATGGGATATTTAGTAAAACTATTAACATCTATTGAGCATTTACCTCAGGCTGGCTATCATTCTAAGTGGTTATTGGATCAAATGCCGCCAGCTAGTTGCACTGTGTTCAAGCTTAATTGTGTCTCTCTGGACGCTCACAATAGCCTATGCAGAAGATAAGTCAGGTCATACGATCCTCAAATCCTAATCCTATGCTCAAGAACTCCTCAGGCTTGAAGAATCCCCAAAGCTGACTCCTGTAGCATGGCCCAGCCAGGATTCAAACTCAGTCCTTCCATTCTAAGTCCAAGGACTTTCCCACATACTCTACTGTCCTTCCAGCAGGAAGAATCTTGTATTTCATCTGCCTTTTTCTTAAGTTGATTCCCGCTCTTTCTTCTCTCTCAGAGAGGTAGCTTGGAAGAAGGTCAGGCTGATTCAGAAGATCAGCTGCGATTACGAGGGCCTGGAGCTCCAGCCACACCATTGGTGGAGTTTTCCTGTGGGTTGAGGGTAAGGGGACTGTCTCCGGTTTGAAGAAAATAAAAAGCATCGTGATGTGGTGGAGAGACCATTAGCTTTGGATCCAAGATTTTGGGCTCTAGTTCTGGTTCTTACTGTGTAAATATTGGCAAGAAAATTAAATTGGGATTCTGTGAGGTTCTGTTTTTCTTAGAAATCCTGCAGTTCATGGTGTGAATTGATTTAGAAAATATTGACTTTGGACTTCTCCCTCTCCTCAACAGGGAGCCCAAAGATGACATTTCCAAACACCCAAAGTATGTACTTCCTGAGAGGAGAAATAATTACTAGAACTCTTGTAACTCCAGCTTTCTTTCTCCTTTTTTTCTCTCCAAACAGTTATAATATTGTGGCCTGAAATATATCCAGAAGGCTTAATATGAGAGAACCCCAAATAGCACCTGGGAAAAGAAGGGAACATAGGCTGGGGCAGCTGAGGAGGGTTGAGCGCAGAGCCTCCTGAGGGCAGGCATCATGTTGTCATTGGGGTTGGCAAAGATTTTCTTGTCTTACATCCACAGATACTGCCATACTGCTGAGGCAGGGGTGGGTAAGAAGGAAAAGGAGACAGGCAAATGGGAATGAGAGAAAGCTGCTGAATCACGAGCAGGTGTCTACCTGTTCCGAGAGGCGGCTGTTAAGGAGAAAAGACTCAGAGATACCTAACAGTTATTTCACTCAGAGTCTAGTCTCTGTCACGCCCATCATGGGTGCGGGTGAACTTAGAAGGTTAACTTTGAACTCTGTGGACTTCAGTAAAAACCTGTCTTTGAATGTGCATGCCGAGGCCTGGGTGCCCAAGGCTCCTCGAGGGAAGGGAAGCCTGAGAACAGGAACTGTGTGTTAGTGAAGAGAGGGGACAGTGAGAGAGCGTAACCATCAGTTCACGTTTTTGCCAACCTGGCTTGACTCTCTCTTAACCTGTGGGTATTTCCTCTTAACAAGAAGTGAGGGGCACCATAGTTTAAGTAAACAGGTTACTAAATTTGAATTAGAATGTGGGAACCAATGTGGACTATGTGTGCTACTGCTGACTTGAATAGAACCTAACGTCTGGGCGTGTTTGCTCAGCCTGCTAACTAAGAAGAATGTGTGTGAAACCCGGGCAGTGCTTCCTGGAAAGAAGGCAACTAGGAATTCCTGAAATAATACCAGTTTACCATTTTCCCTTACATGGATGATATAAAGCTTATATATATATATATATAAGACAATTTCATTTGCTTTTTCAGACAATTTTATATTTTTTAATAAATGTTTACATTTTGCCCTGTGGTATGAGTTGGGCATTTTAAAGCTGGTCCTGAGAGTAGAAGGAAATGG